GGGGAATTCACACTTGTTTACTTTAAAGTACTTCACCCGCACCATTGATATTCATGGTTAGTTTATTGTTTTAGTGCTTAGTGTGGCACATAGGCTTCTGCAAATATTATTATGCCCCACCTTCCGGAAAACTCAAGAACTACAGTTGTTTAACTTTTTAATACTGCTCCAATCACTAAGTTATATGGGTTTGACTGCAAAGTAGCACGTTTTTGGGTTTTTTTTACTCTCCCAGTTTGTATTAATGATAGGTTGCATAAACACAAAATATCACAGAAGATGGTTCAGTGTTCATGTTAATAGTTATTGCCGTCTAGGAATCCCTAACCACTATGAACTAGAATAAGATAGATTCACTTCATATAGGCCCTCAAACCACCATCGGATGGCAATGTCTTTCAGGAATTAAGAAAAGGAGTACTTGTGGCACCTCAGAGACTAACATTTATTTGAGCATAAGCTTTTGCTCAAATAAATTTGTTAGTCTCCAAGGTGCCACAAGTACTCCTTTTCTTTTTGCGGATACAGACTAACACGGCTGCTACTCTGAAAACTTTCAGGAATTAGTGACCCAGGCTAGATTCAGAGCAGCAATCTATAGATGAAAGTCTCGCAATTGCCAGTGTTTTGAGCAATCCAAGCGTCCTTGAGTTGAATAATATACATGCTTTTGGAATGGAGATTTTTTTCAGTAATAAGAACAAATGAACCAGCTGTTTCTAGGATGATTGAAATGTTATAAATACACAGACATTTAAACTCTTTAGATGAACTACTTGTCCTTGGCATGCTAGGGAAAAAATTCTCCTCAGACAGCAAATCTGTTGTTGTATTTTGGGGGGGTTTTTTAAGTCTGGTCAGTTTTAAATTTTGGGTTCTTAATGGGTTTATCTTGAAACTGCTGAGGATCTATGTAAAAGTGAAGCACTGTTGAGAACAGCAAATAAGATTTTGCTGCATCTTCCTGAAGGGCTGTTGGAATTAAAGATTAAAGATTCTTTTATAGCTTTGAATAAGTGTGGGCATACAAACTTGATCTTGATTTCATCAAACTATTCCAGAAATTTTACATTAGTACAGTTTGAATCTATTAAATTAATAATGTTTAACATGCAGGACGGATGCATCCAAATTCTGATAGCATCATACCTGTTCAAGCACAGAAACCAGTCCTTTTTTCCACTAGGGTTTTCAGTTACTAGTCTAGGAAAAAGTTCTTCACACTGATAAGTAGTTAGGGTGACCAGATGTCCCGATTTTATAGGGACAGTCCCAATTTTTGGGTCTTTTTCTTATATAGGCTCCTATTACACTCCACCCCCATCCCGATTTTTGACACTTGCTGTCTGGTCACCCTATAACTAGTTAAGACACAGTTTTATAGTCTATATAGTACTTCATCTTTAAAAAAATTTCTAATCCAGTGTGCTTGATATTAACTTTGTTTTTTTTATCAGTTTTGATTGTTTTTCTGTTTAAAACCCTAAAACTGTTGCAAGTCTGTGTAACAAGTATTAAGAAGCTTTCTGTGCCGCCTTCTGACTTATGCCAAAATGTCCCTGTTCTCCAAGAATATATTACTTCCTTTAAGTTAGCAGGACATTCTCCTCCCCCCCCGTTTGTAAGCCTGTGTTGCATATTTATTACTATAAGAGACTCAACTTTGTTCTCTGGTGTCAGTCAACTGACGTGAGTCAGCGGTTTCGAAGGTTTATACCTGATACTGCCACATGGGAAGGTCAGTATCAGATTACTCAAGTAATTATTATTACAGTGGGCTCTCTGTTATTGAGAGGTCCTCAGTCTTTGGTTCATGGAATGTTTGTGGCCCACATACCACTACTTGGTGCTCCACAAAGTTCTGTAATCTCTCCCGTGGTCCCATCTCCCCTTGTATCCACCCACTCACTTGCGTTAGAAGATAAAATACACAGCTTTCCTAATACTGTTCCTTGAAAGCAGTTGCCACAATGTTATGTGCCAGTGGCATAGAAGGGATGTGATTTGCACTTTAAAAACGTTTTAAAATTGCTGCTTAAAATAAACATGCTGCCAAAGGAAGTAAACTATTGGTCTCTACTTCCTTGAGACAGACACAAAATTATAGTGGGTCATCTTACACATTACTTTCTCTAATGAAGCTTCATCCACCCCTTTCTTCCCATTGGTGCCATATCCTTCTGTATTCCCAGCCTCTTGCATATAGTTATGTACATGCTCAGGCTATGTCTACACTACAGCCTGTGTCGGCATAACTTATGTCACTCGGGGATGCGAATAAACCCCTAAGCGACATGAGTTACATTGATTTAAGTTTTCGTGTGCACAGCGCTGTGTCGGCAGGAGAGCTTCTCCCACCAACATGGCTTCTGCCATTCGCTGAGGTAGTGTTTTTATTCCAACAGGAGAGCTCTCCCCAATCGGCATAGCGCATCTTCACCAGATGCGCTGCAGGGGCGCAGCTACACTGGCACATTTAAGATTTCCAAGAATCTTAAAAATATTTCAGTGGTGGAGAAAGATTGAAAGTTTTGAAGACGCAAAAAGAAACGGAGTACTTGTGGCACCTTAGAGACTAACCAATTTATTTGAGCATAAGCTTTCGTGAGCTACTGTGAGCTGTAGCTCACGAAAGCTCATGCTCAAATAAATTGGTTAGTCTCTAAGGTGCCACAAGTACTCCTTTTCTTTTTGCGAATACAGACTAACACGGCTGTTACTCTGAAACCTGTTTTGAAGACGGGGTTCCAAATACATTTTTTTGTATTTACAGTTTATCTTAAATCTTTCCTAGTCCTATCATTAGACCTGTGCATTTTTCAATGGCAAGACGGCAACTTTAGTTTACCCCTTTCAGAGTCCTCAAAGAATTGTGTGCATGTTCCAAGAAAACTGCTCCGACTTAGCTGTAGTTGGTTTTTAATATTGCTTATCTGATTATGATTAAGCAACCTGCTGTTTATTGCATATACTTTGCCATTGGTGTTGGTTCAAATGGACTAGGAATATGGGTCATGAAGAAATCCCTTGGCAAGCCTATCCTAATGGTACGTTACCATTGTATTTCATATTAACCCCTCGATGGCCCTGCCCTGCCACAGCCTAAGATGTAGCTTTCTTTTAGGGCAAATACGTTTTTTTAAAAATGGATAGTGGTATATAGTTTCGCTTCCTTGGGACTATAAAAATGCTAGATCCATTTGGTTGCATGTAGCAAAGCACTCAAAAATATAAAATTACTGTTCACAGGAAAAATTAATCTTGCTATGTTGGATGTTTGCTATAGTGATTAGGTACTCAAAATAAAAATGTGTACTGTTTAAAAAAGGGGGGAGGGGAAATCTTTGGGCTGTGAGAGCTGAAGGACTTAATTATTTCTCCTGTCATACTTTATATAAAATACCGGGTGAGCTACAGATTAAGTGTTAATTAGTTCTGCTTGGTTTACTGTGGGATCCACAAGACAGCACAAGATTGAAATGGGTGGTACAGACCATTATCTTCTTTCATGTAGTGGAGCTGCCCTTTTGACCGTTTTAAGGGAAAAAAGGACCTTCTTCTAGGAGTGAGCAGGCAGTTTGGGGACACAACTATCACTGGATAATATTTGAGTTCAGTACAACTTCACTTGACCAATACTAGAGTGCTCAATTTTTCAGAGAAGTTTGTCTACTCCAGACATCATTCTTTCACGTTTTGTTCACTTCTTCAAAACTTGCTCTGCTGCAGGAAAACCATATTCCTCTAGATTTGTTATGAAACGCACCGTATCATGATTGTTGCTGGTCACACAAATAAGAGATGGAAGTCCTGACGTGTGACAGCTTTTGGGACATTTATATTTTAATTCGTCAATGCTCATTGTATGTTTAATTTATGTTGGTGAAGAAAGAGGTAAAAGTATCTCTTTTTAAAAAACAGAAGATTTTAAAAGAATATGTAGGCTTCTGTTTCAAATAAGTAGTTCTCAGCATCAGATGCGACTGTTAGGATGAAATGAAAGAGCTATGCAGTATGTCCCCAAGTTATAATTTCATGTTGCAGTAATTTTTGCTGATCAACCAAACAACAAGGTTTAAGGCAACTCATTGTCAGCATGAAAAAAGCCTCCAACTAGAAAAGGCCTTAATTTCTAATGGGGAACAGTTGGGATGGTGTGTGCAGAACTGCAGAGTCAAAGAGTTTTTAAAATATTCTGTAGCTCAAGGAATTGGCTCATCTTCAAACATTTGTAACTACAAAAAGATGGATAATCTTGCAAGTGTATGTGCCCCATCTAGGGGCAAGAATGAGAAAATTCATTACAAGCAGGTAAATGCAAGACAATGTTGCAGCATTTCCTTGGTATACAAATGTATGCTTTTTAACTCCACTGAGAGGGGATTTCTGCTCTGATTTAGGAAAGCAAAGGCTGGTTTGCACTGCATCTCATTTTCCTGACAAGCTGCATGACTGTGATATGTGACACAGGTAGTCAGGCTTCAATTCTCGCTTGACCTTACTTTAACTGAAAACTTCATTGCTAAAAATGAGTGCTCTGCCACATTTTTCTAGTGTAATTCTTGAAAGTCTCATGGTGAGAAGTGTGCCTTTACAGTGCACACACTGTGATTCTTATTAATAGCTTTGTAAATGTAAGTTATAATTCCTGAGTTGTCTGTTGAACCTCCCTTACAACATCAGTAGTGAGAGAACTCCATATCCAAGAATGCAAACCAGTTTCCTTTTTGCTTTAACGCTGAATGCTGAATGGTATTTTTGTTCTTATTGTGGGTGGGCACCATCAAGGAGCTTGGGAGAAAAAGGGATTCTAACTTGTGAAATTTCAGGCATATAATAGTGTAATATCTATCCAAAACTTTCTGTAATTTTAATCACATGCATATAATGCAATCTTCCATTTTTCTAATAACAAGAACAAATGTTTTAATGGTTACCACTAGTTTGATTTACATGTAAAATGCATTTATTTATACTGTTTTTTCCTCTGTTTCCCAAAGGTGCTCTTACAGAGTGCTATGATGAACTGGGCAACAGATACCAGCTTCCAGTCTACTGCCTGGCCCCGCCTGTCAATATGATAGAGGAGAAGGGAGACCTGGAGACTCTAGATATTCCCGATCCACCACCCAATTCTGGGCATGAATGCCAGCTTCGCTTGCGCCTCTCAACAGGCAAAGACCTCAAACTTATGGTCCGCAGTATGGACACAGTATATCACATGAAGAGGCGACTGCATACGGTGGAAGGAGTGGAGCCCAGCAGCCAGCGCTGGTTCTTCTCAGGCAGGCCGCTCGCAGACAAAATGAAACTGGAGGAGCTGAAAATCCCGAAGGATTATGTGGTGCAAGTCATTGTGAGCCAGCCCTTAACAAATCCAACCCCAGTGGAAAACTGATTCTGTTTGTTTTTTGATTCTCCATTCCTCCTCCTCTATCATATGGGATTTATTTTCTCTGCTCTTATTTTTCCTGCTAATGGATTGGTTCCAAGAAATGACTAGCAAAAATTCCATCTGTGATGGAGATCTGCAGAAACAAAACACAAATGTAAACTGTCCCTTGGGATTTGCCTGATTGATATTTTTTAACACCACAGAAAGAAACACATGGCAAATGCAATGAAGGGTTTGTGTAAGGGGGAAGTCTGTCATTTAAACAATAAAAACCTGTAATAATGCTTGGAACTGTAGGTGGAGCATTGATCCATGGAGAAAGCACTTTTTTAAAAAAAGAGAAAAAAATAAACCAAATTGTAGTACTTCATGAAATCGGCACCATTTACAGTTCATCCCAGAAGTGTAGCTTCTCTGGTAGGTCCACTTTGCTCGGTATCTATGATGATTGTTTCTGTTTTGGTTTAACTCATGTGCTGTGTCCGATTTCTCCTGTGGCGTAGTGAATCTCATCCAGAGAGAGGTGGACTGAAGAACGGATTTTTGTGTTGCGTTCTATCACTGCTGTGTTCCACCCCAAATGTGGCTCTTCTTCATGTTCATACGAACCGGTTTTAGCACATTCCAGGATGGTGATAAATGGGCTTGTGCCGTTTTGAGGCTTCAGTGTTTGGTAAATACTGCGTTCTGGAGCATTAGGCAATAATTTAGGAAGTGTATACACATTTTAATAAATCCTTCATGTACTGTACTGTAAAGTTACTTGCTACAATGTTGACTTTTGCTGAAGTTTTCTGGCTCATTGGCACCTGAATAATGTGCCTACTAAATTACTCTACCCTTCTCCATCCTGTAAAACAGACAATTAACAAAAGGCTAGCTGATTACAAGAGGGACACTGATATGGGATGAAAAAAAAACGCACAACCTTTATCAGCTGACGTTAGTATCCTACCGTAGAATGTTTCCAGATAAAATCAGAAAGTTACACCCAAATATGATTGAATGCAATTTTCCCCTTTCTGAATTCTCAGAGGAGACACTCTGTGGAAAATCATAGAAAGGAGACTATAAAGCACACTACATTCAGTTGTTCATGTCACTACCAGTAGAAACAGAGGCCATTCCCTAAGTCTCAGTGTTGGAGGACATGGTCACTTTCTGGTCCGTAGTTGTGGAAATATGTTCACTGTAATGCATCAGGAGCTTCGAATGTGGTCACTCAGTTTAATATCTGGTACTTTTCCTTTAGAATGTAAAAGGAGCCTTTTTTTCTGGGAACAGACACCTCTGTTGCAGTGTGCTTTGGACAACATTTATGATAGTTTTTCACCTAACAAAATAAATTAATAGGATGAATATAGTGTTGAAAAAAATAATGTAATTATTGAGTAGTTGTTACCACGTTAAAAGAAATTGATCTAGTTCCTTTGTTTGGCTGCTCTGCATCTCTCAGAGTTTGGGATATAGGGTATATCCTTCTCTGAAACTATGTCCCGCACTCCTTTTATAAACACAATTATTTTGTTTTTCAGTCCTCGTGCACTCAAATGACTTAATTCCTGCCAAACCTCTATTCTGCCTATTCAGACATGGTTCACTGTATTGCTCTTTCTGTCTTCCATACCTAAATCTAAAATTGCCCAGAATGGCTTTTATTCCACTGATAGTGGAGTCACTATTTTAGGATTGACACTTTTAGATTTGAAGTGAAGAGAGCTTCTTTAATTCTGTACAGTTTAATGGGCGGTGGTTTACTTGGCAAATACTGTAAAATTGGAACTAGCAGAGTTCAGTTGAAATTGCCAGCTCCTGAGGCTTTCCATATTGCTCTAACCTTTTTATCTGTTCACTGGCTAGGTGGCACTTTGGATTTAGTACACTAGTCTTTCTCTTTTAGAAACTGAAGTTCATATTTGATACCACATCACACATGAGCATGAGCTTTGCTTTTATCATAGTTCCCATGTTGTATGTCACAAAACCAAAATGCTCCTTAGCACAATTCACTGTCAGATCTACTCCAGGTAGGTTGAAGCCTGGCAACACAGAAGTGCAATGACAGGGTTGTATGGAGGAAGCCATGTCATTTAGTCCCTCATTTTTGCAAGCACCAAATTGACTTCCACATTTTTTTTTTGTAAAAAAGGCAAAAGTTAGACGTAAGCCCTGACTTGCACCAAAGCCTTTGGATTTTTTCACAAAGGGTGTAAAATTCACAAAAATCAGAATTTTTAAGACAAAATTCAGCTAATAAGTAGTGATTCTTTCACCACGTCTTTTGCATCTTGAAGGGGGAAATAATACTGGATTTCTGCACAACCACCTTAAAAATCTCATGGATTTTTCGCTGTTCAAATGTGCCTGGTAAAACTAGATTGTTTGTTTTATAAAATAAATGCTATATTTTATCTAAGCAACAGATAGTCATTTCATATCTGGAGCAGCATGTCTTGTGAAACATAGTACAAATTTTTGTTTTAATCTGTTTTTGTGATGGAGTTTCCCTAGAATCAATTCTGGAAGGGGGGAAAAGCTACAGCTGTAAAGTAACAAAGCTGTAACTAGGATAATGATGATTTTGTAACTTCCCACATCCTTTTGTAGAATGCATTTTCAGAGATAGTTTGAGGTGATTTACTGAATATAATTTTCAATATTACAGGTTTCTGACAAACAATTTAAATGCATTTTCACATTTCCTCTGAAAAAGCATCAACTGTAGTATGTTGTGCTGTAACATGTAACAATTTTTTACATTAAGTATTTTGATGGCGGAGAGTGAGGAGAAGGATGTCTAAGCAATTTTGAATTGGTTTTCATGCATGTAGGGGGTTGAGCATTGCTGGATTTGATCACCCAAGGGGCCGTTGCATAGAAAACATACTCTCCTTCCTGTCTCCCTAAGCACATAAGCACAAATCTCAAAACCAAGCAGTCTGATTGCAAACCGGTTTTTTTTAAAAGGTGAAAATGAATACTGGTCTCTTATCCCTGTCTTGATAAGCTGACAAACCTAACCACACAACTTTATTTTTGAATATAGAAGATATAACTGGAAACAAAGAAATTTCATAAGATCCATATTAAGGAAAAGAGTAATGCTTCTAACAAGGAGATCATTTCTGAAAATGTACATATATGTGCGTTTATGCTGATGAACTTATGGTATGTGACTATATATATTCAGTGAATACTATACTTCTTTTATCTGTAAGATGATCAGGTTTGGTATTCCTACTAGACCCCTGGCTATAAAAACAGAAATGAACAGGACAAGAGTTTGCCCCCACACAAATTTATGCAATTTCCACTGGACTCAGCGGGAACTGTGCGCTTGCATCCCAGAGCGGAATTGGGGCCCATGTGTAGCATTAGGAAGTAGATAGGCATGGGACACCATTCTGGGGCAAGAAGGAGGAAAAGCAGAACTTTGTGGGTAGATTTTGGATCCCCAAAGTGTGACTAGTGAAGTTCTAAAATGCAGCTTCTGGCCATGCTGTCCTCACCTTGCAGTCATAATAAGAAAATCCCAGCCAGCTGCAGGGCTGAATTACTCCAAGCAATTTCTATCCATCATTCAAGAAAGGCACGTATGAGCACATGTTGTTGTATGCATTTTTATTTGAATATGTGTACTCAGATTCAGTATGGCATTTGTGCTCCTGACAGGTTTCCTATGTGACCTTTATTTGTTGTATTATAGATTGGGCACCCCAATCAATGTGCAGTATCACACTGTTCAGTGTCCTCAGACAGGATATACTAATTGGGAGATTTTTATAATGTGTACCCAAGAGTTGATATAATCAAGTGAGGAGTAATAGGATAAAGTTTTCATTAGATTCATAGGCCTTGTATGTGTCACTCCTGATTAACTTTGGCCAGGAGGTGATTCCAGGAAATTACATTTTTACATTCTTATGTCAGTGACAGGTCTGTTTAACACAGAGCTTAGACTTTTGTGCTTGTTATTGCAAAGATGTCACTTGTATCTGACCCAGAAGTAATGGACAGGCTAAACTCTACACTCCCAGAATAGCTTTAAAGGCAGAGGATCAACAACACTACATATAGTCTAATGTAAAAATTTATCAGAAATGGGACATATTGGATATGTATTGCTAACTTTGTTACAAAGTGTTTTGTTTTACAAAAAGAACAAGTGATCACAGTTTTCCATAGTATGTAACTTTTGAATTATGTTTCCACTATGTGGGCCCTTTGTGCATTACATTTTGTGAATATCATCTACAGAAAACTCTATTTGAGACAGTAATATTAAGAAAACTTTCGACTTCCTTCTTAAAACCTGCAATCTCTTCTTGTCTGTATCTGGGAAATATTTGGAAAACTAAGTGATGTGAAAGTGCAGTGTAAATAGGGGATTTTTTTATAGCGATTGGGTGGCTAAGGGCACCATGTAAAATTAAACCACCTCCCTATGCCTTTCTCAAAAAGCTGAATCAGTTGAATTAGTAGGAGAGGAAAAGCAATCAGGGTTAATATTTATGTGACAAAGCAACATATTCAGTTTACATCATGACGTTCAATAAAGCAAATGGCCTATTGATAAAATATCGCTATAATATCAGACATGCTTCTGCATACATATGCATTGTTAGTAAATATATTTTTGTTAGTTTGATGCAATGGTTGGGCTGCTTTTTAACCCATAGAATTTTGAAAGCATTTCAGCTGCATAAAAGTTGACAAATTAAATGAGTGCTATAAATTTGTCCATCACTATTCTATTCATAAACACAAATGCTAAAGTTACATTTCTGATTCTTGATTTATATTTTGCAGAATCTTTCATACATCATTGTAAATATGTTATTAAAGACCTTGCATCTTATGAAAAGAGCTGATGTGTTCTTTATAAAAGATTTAGAAAACAAATCAGCTCTTTTCATAATCTGTCCACTTTACTTTATAGATGCGTGTCAAGTGTTTGAAATGAAAATAATTTCCATTAATGAAAAAGGTTTCCTTTGTTTTCCACCTGTCACTGAGTGTAGGCTTGCTCATGAATGTTGGACATCAGACATTCTTTTGGAATAGACTGTGTGTTTAAAAAGAGAGGTCTAAAGAACTTGCTTTCGGAAAATGGGTGAATTCCATGCACATGGCAAACTTTTTTTTGAAAAAGGAAGAAATGCATTTTGAGCCAAATCAGCGCCCCTTAAAATTTATTTAATATCCCAGCTTGTCCAATGAGTTAAAACAACCGTGCTTCTCTCTTGTACCAAAGTAGATAATATCATACTGTTGCATTTGCAACTACAAAATTGTCAGACAATACAAATCTGCCTGTTTAAAACTGCTTTTCATAAAGCATTTTTAATTGCTTCATTCTGCAGATGGCTCTTCTCCTTTCACATTTCATCAGTTTCAACAAATGCTCCCTAGTGGTGTGGATGCCACTTCCTATTCATAGGACATGGTGGACCATCCATGATAACTCTAGGGCTATAGTTCTCCTTCCAAGGGAGAAACATAATAGTGTATATGCCACTGAGCCTACAAAAGTCAAATAGTTTGAAGACGTGGGTTTTTTTAATCAGCTGAGCTTCTTACTATGGACTTTGAAACTCTTATTAAATATAGCCACTGGACTATCCATGAAGAAGTGTGTTCCTATCCTTTTGAGCAGGGCCATTTGTTGGGTATCTATCCAATGGAATGCTGTATTTGTACATTTAAATATGAAGACCAATGAATCAGAACCATGTGGCAAATTGAGAACTT